CCCCCCCCCCCCGCGCCCCACTCGGTGCGCCTTCCAGGGGGAGCTGGACACAGCCCCCCCCCCGGCGGGAGGGGGCACACGGGCTGATGCCGGCGCTCCCCGGGAAGAAACGGTTCCAACCGGAACGCCGCCCCAAGTTTCGCTCGCTTTTGTTCGGGAAGAAAGTTCCAGCTGGACTAAGCACGGGAGGACGTGTCTGCAAACACACACACACACACACCCGTGTAAAGAGGGGGCTCAAGGAGACGGGGAACGGACCCTGCTAGACCACGCGATCCCTCCCCCCCCACCCCAACCAAGTTGGCCGGCGAGTGAAGTCCCCCCCTCTGCCCGGCGTGGGGTGCGCGCCCTCCCCTCTCTGCCCGGGGAAGAAGGGAGGAAGGGGGAAAACGCTCCCTCCCGCCGCCCGCCCCGGCAGGGAAAGGGAAGGGAGCGATCCTCTCCGTTTCCCCCCCAGGGAGGCGGGCCGGAGCCCCCTCGCCCGCTTCTCCCCCTCCTCCAAAGGCACGGCTCTATTGTCCGCGAAGCCTCGAAGGTGGCGCGCGGGGGGGAGGAGGATTTTGCTCGGCCGGGGGCTGAAGCGCGGGGCCTTCCTTCCTTCTCCTGCGCCTCCTCCTCGCCAGGCCGGGGCGCGCGGGGAGAAGGGAAGCGGGAAGGGAAGAGGACAACAAAAAAGGAGAGAGAGGGCGAGGGCGCGAACGAGGGCCCGCCGTTACCTTGCACACCAGCTCCTCCTCGCTGCCAAGGTGACATGACCTAACTTTGTCTCATAGCTTCCTGATTCCATGGAGCCTTGATGTGCCATTTTAATTTAAATATGGTGTGTTTCTTCTTCAGTTCTGAATCTATGTAAACGTCTTCCATAGGACAATAAACTCACAATATATAATACTATTGAACTAAATAGATTTCAGAAATCGTCTGTTTTTTAATTGATATAAACTATCATTTTTTTATTTTCTCCTCACCTGTGAGGTAGACAGCCTTGTATAATCTCAAAAATAGAGGTCACATTTCTAAGAATATTTTTTGTGAAAATTACATCCCGAGGGCGGCGGGACAGAGAGAGAGCTCGCCGTCCGGGGCCACAGAGCGGACCGTCCCCCGCGCGGCCCCGGAGGGCACAACAACGGAGACCGGCGAAAGAGCGGGGCCCGCGCCCAAAAGGTCGCCCCTCGCCGGTAAAATCCCAGGGATCGGGCGCAGGAGGGTGCCAGCAAGGCGATGGAAGGCGAGCCGGTCCGCTTCCCGGATCCCTCTTTTCAGGAGATCCTCCCCGGTATTCCAAGCCGGAGCCCACGGCTACTGCAGCCGCCGCCGCCGCCAGAGGAGCAGCCGGCTGGTCCTTGTCTCTCTCTTTCCTGCTTTTTTTTTTCTTCCCCCTTTCCAATCCAAGAGAGGGAACGATCACTCTTTCTGGTTATGATTTTTTTTCTCTCTCTCCCCTTTTTGCCTGCGTCTTAACTGTAGATGGCGTCGGATCCTTTCTCCTGCTCGGAAAGGCAACCAAAAAAAAAATAAAAAATAACATAACGAGGGAGCCTTGAACTTCGCAGGGTCGGCAAAGCAGCTCCGCCGGCAAACCGAACGAGGATGGGAAGGCTCGGGAGGGGAGGAGGAGAATGCACGCTGCGGGCTCGCCGGCTCCTTCCTTCCTTCCTTTCTCTCTCGTTTTCTCTCCGGGTGTCTCTCCCTCGTTTCCCGCCGGCGTTCTCCTCGGGGCTGGCAGGGAGCGATGCTCTCCCCGCGTAAAGGCACCGGCGGCGGCAGGAGAGGCGCACAAAAGCTCCACCACGCGCTGCGAGCGACGGGCGCGCGACGGGGGCACGCGCGCGGCCGTCTGGGCTTTCTCCTTTGATCAGGGGGAAAAACAGAGAAAGGTGCAAGCAAGGACAAGCGCGCGCGCGCGCGCGCAGACACACACACACACACCGGGGCGACTCTTCAGCTTTCCATCGCCGGGCGGGGGGGAC